CAAAAAGGTGTGTTCTCAACGGCCTTTGAACACCACAGTTGGTGTGAACTTCATGCTGCACAGAATGGTTCCGTAACTAAGTCCACAGTGACAAGGCTGACGCACCTTTGACAGATTGCTCGGGTAGCAATGTGGCGGGCGCCTGGGGACTGCAAAGAGGTCAGACAGGCTGACTACAAAGCCGGGGTCTGGGCCCAGAACAGCTGAGTCTGAAGACAGACCCTCCCACCACCCAGCTCTGTGACGGCGGCTAAGCGACTAACTGCTTTGTGGTGCAACTTCCTCATCTGTAAAAAGGGAAAAGAACGGGTGTTACCACAGAAGGGACATCGTATGGAAGAGAGTGGCATCATCACCACCACCAATGCTGGGCCAGGCAAGGTGGTACCCACCTTTAATGCCAGCACACCCGATTCCGCTCCTTTAAGACGTATTTATTTTTTGCTGTGTGCCTGAGCGTATCTATGTGCACCATGTGTGCAGGAGCCCATGAAGGTCAAAAGTGGCACTGGAGTCCCTAGAACTGAGTTACATATGGTCGGCCGTGAGACACCACGTGGGTGCCGGAAACAAAACCTGGGTCCTCTGCAAAAGCAGCAAGCGCTCTTACCCTGAGCCACCCGACAGTCACCCAAGCTTTATTATTGTAAAATGTCCAACAAAGCACGGCTCTGATGGCATGTGAGGAATACTGGAGTGAAACGACTATTAGGAGAAGAAGAACAGGGGAGGAGGGTGATACAGGAGCCCCCGGCAAAGGCTGGAGAGGACTCGGAGCCATCTAAGCACCACGGAAGGAAGAAGAGTGGAGAAAACAAGAATGACTATGATGTCTAGAGCTTGGGTGACTGGGGTGGTGCAAACCCCAGAGAGGAGAAAGGGAAGGGGCAGAGGATAAAGCCGATGAGGGAATCCGGCCACACTGGAGTTGAGGCTCCTCAAGGGCTGCAAATGCCCAAGAGCCCCGGTAAACAGACTGTGGATCGGAGGGAAGGGCAGACAGCAGGACTTTAACTGGAGGCTGGCTGAACTGTGGTAGCAGAGCCGAGCTGACAGGAGTCTCTGGGCCAGGAACCCCAGACAAAGAAGGGCGACGTGGACGGGGGAATCCCTCCTCCAGAAGCTTCAATGCCGTCAGTGAGAGGAGACAAGACATTTTAAAATTGTGACTGGTCAGGATGGGCCGCTAATTTTCAAAGCGGAAGTGAATGTCTGAATGGCATGCAGGCAAAGGGGAAATGATGGTAAGCTGAAGAGCCAGTGACTCAAGCTGAGAACTCTGGCGTCGAAGAGGGGCTGACAGCAGAGCAGAGGGAAGGCTGTCTGTCACCCACCAGGTGCCCCCAGATTGTCTGAGGGATTCCACAGACCTCGCCTTAGTTCACCCTCCCGATATTCCTAATTGTATGAGACAAACACCATCCCCACTTACAAGCCCAGACAGAAGCAAAGGCAAGGATCCCACAAAAGCCCTGCTCCAGTCTACCAACCTAGAGCACTTTCAGTACCGGGGCCAGGCAGAGGGCCACGGCCAGTGCTGTCTCACAGCTGTTCTGTATATATTAACCTGGAAAGAGCAAGGCATTTCCGAGGAGGAAAGAGAACTAGTGAGCGGGCAGAAAGCCGGCCATACTACAATACAGCACCCTCTTTAGAAAGGGTGAAGGGTGGGGTGAGGATGACACCCCAAACAATCTTTTACCCTCAGAAGGCAGCAGGATTAGATGTGACCCCTTGACTGCAGTCTCACCCGATGTCTACCCCACGATGACACCAGGGTTAGAATTCTAAACTTACACCTCACCATAGCCCTCTCTCCTCTCTATAACCATTCAGTAACTCACCACCACCAAAACAAAACAAAACAAACCAAAACAAAACCCTAAAGGCAACAACAGCAACAAACCCAGAGCCCTCCTCCCCCATTATCTAATTAGCCTAAGCCCCTAAAGCCTGAATGCTATTTGAGAGCATTTCCTAACACCGATTTATACTCCACTGAAGCCCTCCACGCCAGCTTGCTCACCCCAGATTGGAAAGTAACTGACAATTCAAATGTCAGTTACAGAACAACATTGACACCTTGTGGTGGACATCCGGAAGTAGGGGCACAGAGCAAAGCAGCTAGCTGTTTACTGGAGGACGGATCTTCAGCCTGAGAGGGCTCTAACTGCCTCCCCCCACCCCGAAGGACTGGAAGCCCCGCTTCTCCTGCAGACTCTTAACTCACCTAGGGTCTCCAGCGGGAGCCAAAGCACCTGAGCTGGCGGATGTCCCACAAAACCGTATAAAACTCCCTAGTCTACGTGTTCCAAAGTCCTAACTCACAAGAGTCTCTATTTTTCCATGACACCCACAAGCAAAAAATACAAAGAAACTATGAGCACGACAATACAGTGAAAGATTTTTTTTTTATTTTAATTTTTAATTTTGAGACTGGCTGGCTGAAACTCACTATGTAGCCCAGGTTGGCCTCAACCTTGAAAGCACCTTCCCTCAGTGTTAGGGTAGGTGAGTACAACTATACCCCCTGGCCTGTGCAAGTTATTAATTAGAATCCACTCCTAAAAGACAGAGTCAGGAGACCAGAGTTCTCAGTCTGGGCTAAGGGTTAGTAACAAACGCAGACACTATGGTGTTGCTGTTGTTGGAGACAGAGTCTCACATAGTCCAGGCTGGCCTTGAATTTGACATGTAGCCAGAGATGATTATTATCTCCTGACCCACCTGCCTGCACCTCCTAAGTGCCAGGATCATGGGCTCGTACCACCATGTCCAGCTTTTGGCTATGTTTTCAATTATAGACCAAGTAGCAAAAAATACTATAAATCAAGAAGAACCAGGAAAAGAAAATAGATTTTTTTTTTTTAATATCCCCATTCAAGGACAATGTTAACTGAGTAGAGAAAAGAACAAAGAAAGTCTGAGAGAGAGAGACAAGTTTCCCGGCAAGCATTCCACGTCTACCGCCACAAAAAGCTACGGGGAGGAGAGCAATGCTTTCAATAAAGCAGACAATGGCTGCCTGCTGCTGTCTGCAAGAACTGGAACAATGGTCACTAACGTTGACAAGTGCAACTAAGAGTTCCTGGGCCTAGGGTGCTTCATTCAGTGCAGGGGGTAATTTGGTTGATAAACAGACATTTCATCTGGCTCAGAAAAACTTGGTCTTGGGCCTGGAGAAAGGGCTTGATGGGTACATGAGGAGCCCAGTGAAGCCTGGGCGTGGCTAACAGGACTGTAACCACAGTGTTGGGGTCAGACACAGGAAGACCTCGGGAGCTCACTGACCAACCAGCCTAGCAGAGATGCAGGCTACCAGCTCAGTGAGAGACCCTGCTCAAGCACGCGAGGAGGAGAGTGACAGAGTGAAACATCCAATGCTTCCCTCTGGCTTCTGTATGTGCATACTCATCACACACACACACACACACACACACACACACACACACACACACACACAATGTGCACACATCACCACACCCGACATAAAAGTGAGTCTATATTGTTATGTAGAAATGGGTTTCCACACAGTGATAGGAAACACTTGTAAATTATACAGCTTCCTTACTTAGTAACTGACACCACTTCTTCCATCACAAGAACCAGAGAAGTTAAATGAACTGGAGTCAACAGGGACTTTAGAGGCACTGGGGATTGAACTCTGGAACTCGCACATGGTGGGTGAATGCTTTTCCCCTGAGCTATACCTGCTGCCCCATTCACAGCACTTCCTATGGTATCATATCTCTTTACCTCCTATTCTCTGCAATAACTTAGAGCTCTCAGCACCCATTAAAGTACCCTCTTTTCTCTGTTGCACTATCCCAAATGCCTCCCTTTTCTATGATTTGGGAATTTTTTTCTTGTAATTTTATTGATTTCTCTAGTAAGATCACACAATCTCATACTTAGAAAATATCTTTTTTAAAAGTGTTCTTTTACTATCATTTTACTAAGAACAGGTCAGGAACTGTTAGCTGTTTATTTACATTTCAACGATTTCCGGGCACTCTATTAACACTTACTGTGTTCCCAGTTCAACAGACTCAAAAGAATGTCTGGTCAATTAGTAAATCCTATCTGTTCCGCTACTTATCCTAAGCAGTCAAACTGAAGACACCTCTCAGACACAAGTCAAGTGATCACCATATGTGGTTGCTTTAGAATCACGATCCCATAAGAGCAGTTTTCACAAGCCCTGTAACCAAACTCTATGTCATCGAATACAAGATTCAAGGCTCACAAAGGAAAGGCCCCTTGTATAATGTTTATAAAATAATCATTCTTTACGAATCCTTCTGGACTCTTCCACTAGAAAATCTAGAGGATATGTAATGGTCTACAATTTATGATGTGTTAGGTAAACATTAGAAAAACACTACCCAAGTCACATTTCAACCAGCAGTCTCAGCTGAGTGACAAGGGCTGAGTGTCACTGCTGACTGCGCCCCCTGGGAAATGATCCTGATCATCTACCACATGTGAAGCCACATTTTTCAATCTTCCAAAATGAACCCCAAACATTTTCTATACAGACAGAGAGCTGAGGCACTGAAGCCTCTGAGCCTCAGCTGTCCACAAAGCTCCTTGGCCTGTCATACGGGATCCTTTTAAGATGAGAACAAGCCAAACGTCTACGCCATGCCTAGGACTGTTGGTGGGCTCTCCTGGGGAAGGAAGAGTTGGGACGTTCCTGATATGAACTCACTCTGCAGCTTACAGGCCATACCAGCCAGTACCTCAGTTTCTGTTTTAAGATCTCCAGCTGCCCACCGCTCTTTCCCACTGCCCAGTGAGAGGAAATGGCTTTTCAAAGACTTTGTCGAGGAGATAAACTTAAATCGCTGCAGCTACAGAATTTATGGAGCTTTCACTAAAAAATGCTAAGCTTGAGTAATGGCTTCTCAAGCTCCAACGCTTCCCCTCACACTGCAGCATCACAGACGCACAATGAGAGAGAGCCGTCCAAATCCAGGGGGCTCTAAGGAGTTTCTTACCGCAGCAAAGAGAAGACGTCGTAAGAATTGCGGACACAGTTCTGATCCACCTGAAGGATGGTCTTCTGTGCGTTTGGATGACCCTGAAAGACATTGGTGAAGAAAGTAAAGAAAAAGAAGCAAAACCTATGCATAGATCAAGCACATTTGCCTTTCTCTGGATACAACTTATGAAAGACCTGGGTCCACTTACAATGTCAGAGACTTCCCAAAGTGAAGTGTAACCTCTGTGGAGGCGCTGTCAAGCCTTTCCGCTGAGTGCATTAAAATCAATTCTTTCTCACCATTCCCGCAGATGAGGACTGTGCTTACCTCCCAGGGACAGTCCAGGAGCCTTTCAGTACATTACGTGACTACAGAAGGGCGTGCTACTCTTTCTGCTAGGCCGAGCCCCAAATACCATGCTTCTCTGGAAGCCCCAGTCCTACCCAGGGGGATAAAAACAAGTGTTCCCACCCACGCCAGTACCATGGTTTCCAACAAGAGCACAGTGACACAGGGACGAGGCAGGTATCTCTGACACTTGAGAAAGGCAGTATAAATTGTAGGTAATAACAAGACAGGCCACAGGGGCTGTAGCTGTTGGTGTCCAGCAATGTGCAAAGCCCTGGGTTCCATCGGCCGCACTTATAAACAAGATGTGATGGTGTACATGCAACCATCACATGGGAAGTAGAGGCAGGGAGATCAGAAGTTCAAGGTTATCCTTAGCTACATAGTAGTTTGAGGCCAGCCTGAGCTTCCTGTGACCCTGACTCAAACAAGCCTCTGGACTCGGACTGTCAGAATTCTATTTCAAGCCCTTAATATACCAGCTCTGTGACTGTCACCTAAACCTTCTTAGGGAATTGTTTTCTCTGCGTGTAACACAGAACTGACAGCAGACCACACCTCATAAATGTCATAGGAAAAGTTAATATTCGCAAAGTGAGAGGCATGCAGCAAACCTAAGTACCAGCTATAACCACAGCACAGACATTTTTAATTAATAATAAACATTGGCAGGCCTGGCAGTGGTGGCGCACATCTTCAATTCCAGCACTTGGGAGGCAGAGGCAGGTGGATCTCTGTGAGTTCAAGTCCAGCCTGGTCTACAGAGTGAGATCCAGGCCAGGCTCCAAAGCTACA